GGTGGACCCCCCCGGGGCGCAAAACCCCGAGCTGGCGGGGCAGAGCCGGGGGGCCACCTTCGAGGAGCTCTGCCACAACTACACCCAGGAGCGCCTGCAGCTCCTCTTCCACCAGCGCACCTTTGCCCGCGAGCTGGAGCGCTACAAAGAGGTAACGGGGACGCCCAGGGCTGCCATCGCCTCCTGCCCTCCCCTCCCCTCTCTGTGCGAGCATCTCCTATGATGTCCGCCCAGTTTCTTACCCCACAGTCGCTCTGGACTGCATCCGACCGAAGCAGCTCTGACACGATGCTCAGTGCAGCGGGGGTTTCCCCAGGGTTCCCACTCCGGGCGGTGCCTTTGCTGGCAGCTCCAGCCCCAGCCAGGCAGCTTTGCCTGCAAACGTGCCAGGCTGGGAGGTGATGGGGTGGCTGTGGGGGGCTGGTGGTGGGGAAGATCACTGCTGCTGCTCCATCTCGGCACCGACAGCCCAGGGGGACCCCTCCATGTGTCCTGGGCCCCCCTCGGCACCTGGCATCGCCCTGTACCGTGCCGGCGCAGCGGGGCGGTGGGATGCTGGGAAAAGCCCTGCCTCCTGCCTAGAGCCCATTGAGACCAATGCCCTGACCAGCTGCCAGTCCCTATCACTGCTCCCCCGCTGTGTGCCACTAACCGTGCCTCTGTCCCCCCTCGGCAGGAGAACATAGAGCTTGCCCTGGCTGATGCCGAGCCCGGCTCCTCTGGCTCTGTAGCCGCTGTAGACCAGCCCTCGCACCAGGCACTGGTAAGCACCCGCCGCGCTTCCTCGTGGCCACGTCACAGCAGTTTGTAGCGTGAGGCAGCGGCCGGGAGGCTTTCCTGGCCCTTTGGCGGTAGTTAATTAGGGGAAGGAGAGGGGCTGTCCCGAATGCTTGGCTATGAGAGCGCGACTGCGAGCGTGTGTGCAGCCCGCGTCTCTGGTGCATCCCTCGGTGTGGTGTCCCCCGCCACCCCGGGAGCTGCCCGTGCTGCGGGCAGGAGGGAGAGGAGCCCTTGGGCGATCCCCAGGGTGCTCCAGTCCCTGGGGTACACCGGTCCCTGGGATGCTCTGGTCCCCAAGGTGCTCAGGTCCCCAGGGTGCACGGGTCCCCAAGGTTCTCCAGTCCCTGGGGTGCTCTGGTCCTCAGGGTGCATAGGTACCCAAGGTGCACAGTCCCTGGGGTGCTCCAGTCCCTGCTGGAGGAGGTTGCAGAGACCAAGGGGGGCTGCTAGCGCCAACCCTGTGCTGGGTTTCATCCCTCGGGTGCCTGAGCACAGCATTTTCCACCCCAGCGAGCATCTCGCTGCCTTACTGACTCGTTCCCTGCTGGGTCTCCATTAAGGAGGGGCCCTCTCGCATGGTGCCGCTTTGCCTTGCTGCTGACAGCGGCCGAGGTTGCATGCTCCCCGGGTGGCCTGGGTCCCCTGTGTCCTCCCATCCCTGCCCCGGGGTACACCGGCGTGTCGGGCTGGGTGCAAGCGCAGTGTTGCCCACAGGTCCGGTCACTGGCCCGCACGGACGAGGCACGGGGGCTGCTGTGGCTGCTGGAGGAGGAAGCGTTGCAGCCGGGCGGCAACGAGGACACCTTGCTGGAGCGGCTCTTCTCCTACTATGGCCCCCAGGAAGGGGGCAAGAAAGGTCAGGGGGGGCCCGGCACCATGGGGCCATGTGTTGGTGAAGGGACGGTCCCGTGCCCATCGGTGCCGTATCTCCCCGCAGGGCACAACCCGCTGCTCCCCAGTGACAAGCCCCGACACTTCCTCCTGGGTCACAGCTCAGGGACCAACTGGGTGGAGTACGATGCCACGGGCTGGCTCAACCATGTCAAGCACAACCCGGCCTCCCGAACCGCCTCCGTCCTGCTGCAGGAGTCGCAGAGGTGGGTGGGGTCCCGGGGCGGTGGGGGGCACAGCGGGG